ATAAATAAGTGCTGTGAACACCTGAGTTAATGTGATGTAAGGTAATTGGTCAGAGGCAGGTAACTGACGTGTGATTGGCTGGTCTCAGGTGGCTCTGAGAAGACAACAGGCTCAGGAGGAGGAGCTGGGGATCTGCAGTCCAGTGCCTCTGTCTGGTTCTGATGTGATGATCAAGAATGAATCTGGAGTGGACTGCTTGTTTTCTGTGGACGGACGGTCTAGTTCTCCCACAAGCTTCCCCTCCACGTCTCTAGCTGTTTCAGGTAAAACACCTGAGCTGCAGGTCACCTGTCTTTGTGTCAGATGTGTCCTGAACAGGCTCTGATCCTGGGACCCAAAACAGAAAGGCTGGTCCTACAGGGCTCCTCCAGGACCAGGACTGGACAGCTCTGACTCACATCTAGCTTGTTAGCATGTTAGCCTTTTAGCTGCTTCAATAATCCAGCTTCCAGCCTCACCTTTGTATCTTACACATGTTTTACCAACGTGTCTCGGTCTAAGCTGATCAAACAGCAGGTGATCATTGCTGACTGCTAACTTCATCATGTCAGGTGTGTCACCTGTGTGACATCATGGCAGGACCAGTATAAACCAGTCCTGGGCTTGTCTGCTGAAGCTCAGCGTCTGACAGGAAACCCAGCGTGATGAAGGTCAAGGCCGCTCAGCCACTCTTCCTGAAAGATGAACGGAGCAGACGTGGACTGGTGAAAGGGGAGTGAAGCACTCTTTGATACAGTGCTGAAAGGCCTGTGTGTGAAGCAGGGACAAGTGTCAGGATGTTTGTTGTGTCGGGGTGGACAGTGTCTTCATTGTGTGAGACACAGAGCAGGGTATGCCTCAGAAGAATGTGGCCTTGCTGATAACCACACAACATTAGATAGGGAGTAATTATGCTGTTCTTCCCCCCCTGATAGAGTTATCTGCATCATTTCATCCATGACGTCTTTTTACCTGTACACATCCAGCAGAGGGCGCTGTTCGCCTCAGGCTCTGAACATCCTGGACCTCTGACTTCAGACAAACATGAATCCAGATATAAAGACCAAGTAAAACCCAGAGTCTGACCTCTCTCCTACCTGGAGTCCGACTGGACCTGGAGTCAGACTGGACCTGGAGTCTGACCTCTCTCCTACAGACCTGGAGTCTGACTGGACCTGGAGTCTGACTGGACCTGGAGTCGGACTGGACCTGGAGTCAGACTGGACCTGGAGTCTGACCTCTCTCCTACCTGGAGTCTGACTGGACCTGGAGTCAGACTGGACCTGGAGTCTGACTGGACCTGGAGTCTGACCTCTCTCCTACCTGGAGTCTGACTGGACCTGGAGTCAGACTGGACCTGGAGTCTGACTGGACCTGGAGTCTGACCTCTCTCCTACCTGGAGTCTGACTGGACCTGGAGTCAGACTGGACCTGGAGTCATACTGGACCAGGAGTCTGACTGGACCTGGAGTCTGACTGGACCTGGAGTCAGACTGGACCTGGAGTCTGACTGGACCTGGAGTCTGACTGGACCTGGAGTCAGACTGGACCTGGAGTCTGACCTCTCTCCTACCTGGAGTCTGACTGGACCTGGAGTCTGAATGGACCTGGAGTCAGACTGGACCTGGAGTCAGACTGGACCTGGAGTCTGACTGGACCTGAAGTCTGACTGGACCTGGAGTCAGACTGGACCTGGAGTCAGACTGGACCTGGAG